GTGTACATGGAAATCTTTATGCTGATCTCAAGGACATCTCGAGACTTGGAGATTGAGAACTCCAAATGAATGGGATAATATGTCAGTGTGGTATGATTTGCTCCAATGGAGGAATGAAATGTATAATGCTGTTATAGATGCATTCAAGGATTTCGGCAGCTCAAATACACAACTACATCACATAGGTTATCGTGACAAAGCATGGAATGTCAATAAACTAGCTCGAATTGCTCGCAAGCAAGGGCTTTATGATGTTTGCGTGCAAATTCTTGAAAAGATGTACGGACATTCAACGATGGAGGTGCAGGTACTGGATGCATTAATTACTGCCTTAGTTTAGGGAAAGCAAAATGTAAGGACTACCAACTTTTTTAAGGAAAATGGAGGATAACTTTTCATCCAATGGCAACAACCTAGCTGGTAGGATTCTCCAGTCAAGGTTTCTTTTGGGGCTTTTGTGAAATCTCTAAGATGATCCTTGCAAGTTGATTCAGCATTTGATTTTTTATTAGCAATTTCTATCATCTCCAATCACTCCATGAATTTCCACAAGTGCAAAGTCCACTGTTTATAGGCCTAAAACTTCTTTCACAAAATTTCCATTTTTCCTGCTTATTGGTCATGTAATGAAAAGTATAGCGTTGGGTAATCTACAGGTGGACGTTCTTATTGGTTCTTTTACTTTTGTACAGGAAGCCTTTGTTAAGATAAAAGAACAGGCAAAAGCTTATCTGGAAATGAAGGGAGAGCTTACTAGCGGTCTTAATTTGATCAACAGCACTAATCTGGAATATTTTCCTGTTAAACACAAAGCTCAAATTTTTCGCCTCAGAGGGGATTTTCTCTTGAAGCTAAATGACTCCGAAGGTGCTAATATAGCATATTCCAATGCAATTACCCTTTTCAAGAATTTGCCCAAAGGATGGATAAGCTGGGGGAATTATTGTGATATGGTACTATTTTCATTTGTTTTCTAATATTGGCCATGGTGATGACTGAAAACTGAGTGATCTGCCGCTTCCCTTTTACAGGCCTATAAAGAAACCCATGACGAAATTTGGTTAGAATATGCTGTCAGCTGCTTTCTTCAAGGAATAAAATTTGGTGTCTCTAATTCCAGGAGTCATTTAGCCCGTGTTCTTTATCTTCTAAGCTTTGATACGACCAATGAGTCTGTGGGAAGGCCTTTTGATAAGTACCTGGACCAAATACCACATTGGGTGTGGCTTTCCTGGATCCCTCAATTGTTACTTTCCCTGCAGAGATCAGAAGCACCTCATTGCAAGCTTGTGCTGCTAAAAGTTGCAACTGTATATCCACAGGTATCTTTCGTTTCTTAAATACTAATAAGAAGATTATTAATAGATATAACAGGCATGCATTCTAATTAAATCTGCTCTTTGAAATTTTAGGCTCTATATTACTGGCTCCGAACATATTTGCTTGAGCGCCGGGATGCTGTCAATAAATCTGATCTAAGTAGAATGGCAATGGCTCAGCAAAGGCTACAGCAAAATATCCCCAGTGCTGGTCATAGTGGTTCTATTTTAGGCTCAGACAATCAGGGTGCTCAATCTAGTGGTGGGATTGGATCACATGATAGTGGAAATTCTCACGGGCAAGAACCTGACCGTTCCACAATAGCTGAAAACAGTGTGAATTCAGGGAGTAACCAACCTCTGCAACAAAATTCAGCAGTTAATGAAGGTAATCAGAACACAACGAGGCGTAATGGTGGTGCTTTGGTGCCAGTCTCTGCTGCCATTGCTTTTGATTCTGCAAAGGATATAATGGAGGCTTTAAGAAGCAAGCACAGTAATTTGGCTGGTGAACTTGAGGTGGCTATTTTTTTCCAGATATCTTTATGTATTTAATGAATTTATTTTGTTGATGAAGATGCTAAGATATGCTCTCTATCTGTATATCAATCTAATAGTTACCATTATTTATCAAGAAAGAGGATTGCATCCTACTTCTTTGTCCATTGACTGTGACACAAGTAAAACGGACCTTATTTTTATGGGCTATTTTCTGAATTATGTTTTGCTCTTTTATGACTAGTACGTTTTATGAAATTGGATGGTTCTCCTTTTCAGATTCTTCTCACTGAAATTGGTTCAAGATTTGTTACTTTGCCAGAGGAGAGGCTTCTGGCTGTGGTTAATGCTTTGTTGCATCGCTGCTACAAATATCCAACTGCCACTACAGCGGAGGTTCCCCAGTCTCTTAAGAAGGAGCTATCTGGTGTTTGCAGAGCTTGCTTCTCTGCAAATGCTGTGACAAAGCATGTGGATTTTGTGAGAGA